GGTATTAAATTTTAGTGATTTTTTTTTTTTTTTTTTACTAAAATGAAAAACATGAATTTTAATTAAAAAAATGGAGTATTTGTTGAGTAAGGAGACTATAAGCATTTGTAGCACAATCTTGAAAAGTCCGTACGTGCTAGGGGACTATAAGAATTTGTAGCACAACCTTTGTTAATGTCACCCCTTGGAACTTGAAAACCTTGAAAGACTTAAATTATCGAGACTTGAAAGATTGTTAGATAAATTTGACTTGCCCTTGGATTTGTAGAAGATGTGATGTGCCTTGATTTGATAAAGATTTCGGATATCATTCATGCAAACCCCTTTATTATTTATACCATTCACTGAGTATCCAAGCTCACCCCTCTCTATATATATGTAGGTGGCAAGCAGGACGGCGGTGACGCCTAGATGTACTTGCTACTTGTTTTGGATTATGCACTTTTGCCGCATCTTGAAGATTATGCTTCTTAGTTGTATTTTATTGTATTTTGTATTTGATAGCTGAGAAGCCTTTTGGTCAAGATGTATTTTTGTACTTCATTTTGTTGTATTAAAGTTATGTACGAGTGTATGTTATTCCGTTTGACTTATGCACTGCTCTTATGGACCACTTGTATCTTAAATTATTGCTTCCGCACTTGTGAGCCCCATATATTTATACTCTGATTGTGTGTGAATTTTGAAAGTTGGCCTTCGGTAACCTCAGATTACTGGCCATCACGGCATCAAACTACTAGGGGCGGTTTGAGGTCGTGACATTAGTCCACGTCAATTTAGGTCTACCATTTTCCCTAACACTATCATCTACTGTTACTGTATTACATCTCGTTACTACTGTTTTTGTTGGTCTCCATTGTATATGACCAAACCATCTCAATCTATTCTTTCTCAACTTCTATCGATATTGCTCCTATTCATTCTCGAACATACTCATTCTTAACTTTGTCTGTTCTAATCTTGTCACACATCCGCCATATCTTATAATATAATTTTGTAATATTTTTTATCAAATTATGGAGGGTGGATTGTGTCGTACAATTAAGAAGATGGGATCGGAGGAGGCTAAAATTTTTTAATTCCACCAAAGCCGGCTTAGTTAGCGTGGGGAGACACATTTTAATTGACTAATAAGTAAAAAAAAAAATAGCAAGGTTGAAGGGTTAGGGGAGGAATGGACTGAGAGAGGAGGAGTTGAAATTAAAAACGCAAGTGGCGGCGGCAACCAAAAAAATTCATCAATTAAATGACAAGTACATAATTTACTCCGGTTATTGCCCAAGTGAGGTGAGGTTTGCCGTAATAAAAGAACCTCAAGCATTAAATTTTTTTGACTTAGATTTCTCACAAGATACAACCCAGGGGACTTCTAGTAAATATTTTTTTTATTAATAAATATTTATTTGTTTACCTAAACAAAAGTGCTAAGATGGCGATGCAACGTGAAATGAGAAATAATAATAATTTTAAAATTTATTAATTGAAAATTTAATACCGAAAATAAGATTTTTTTTAAGACTCATTGATTCACAAAGACTATTGACAATAAAAACTCAATAATGATTAATTCACAAAAAATACTCAAAGTCAAAACAAAAGAGTAAAAAATTTAAAATATATTATTTCTCGAAAATTAAAGAGCCCTAAGACTTACATCTATTATTTATTAGTAAAGACAAACTTAACTTAAATAGAAAACAACAAAAAATAGAAATTCGGAATAAAATAAAGAAACTATTAATACATGCTTCCATGATCATGGCAAGTTTTACAGAATCAAATTCCGAGATCCGTGAGTAATTGAAGTTACAAAACTTTCAAAAAATAGTAAATTCGCAAAATTGACCACCAAATTTCACTCAATTCCAAATCCAACCCTTTTTTTTTTGTTTTTTTTTTTGTTTTTTTTTTTTGGTCTTGCCTTTTTTTTGACCCAAAAGTTATATGCCATACATGCTACATCAAATGGACACCAAAGTTGCATCATAGCTAACATAGAACATGCCACCTTAGCTTAGTTTGGGGGAGAGACGTTTTTAATTGACTAATAAACAATCAACGGCCACCTTAGCAAATGTGGGACTTTTACTGAATAGTACTTTGGATTGTTGGGAATAAAAATTAAACATGCCAAAAAATCATCTAGAATTTATATTCTCAAGATCAAGATTCATTTATGAGTTATAACAAGAAATTTAAATTTATGCCGTATATTTAAAATTTAAGGTAAATTTTTTGTTTATTTTTTAAGTTCATAGACTTTCTATAAATTTAAAAGGAGTGGAGTAGCTTAGCGATTATGGGATAGGTGAGGATAGACAGAGAGAAAAAGGTAGTGAAATTAAAGAACATGGCGGGCGGCGGGAAAAAAATTGTAACGCCCTCAAAATACAGTATAAGACAACCGTTCATATAATCCATAAACATAGAAGAAATATTATAATTTCATTCATCAGAATCTTCTTTACAGCAGTTATCACATGCATTACATTTTCATTGATATTTATCCTGAAACTATAGCATGTAACTCTAACTTCTAATAACAAAATAAATGCCCTACGGGTTTACATCTTTCCAAGCTATCACTTGGTTATGACAAAAAGAAGAGTTCTAACTCTATTACAAAAAAAAACCCTCGGCTTGAGTTTACATTTAACATAAAAAAAAAAAAAAAAAATCAACAAAATGGAGTCTTCAGCTCCTAAACTAGGGCATTTCCCCCAAATTCCGCAACATTAACCCAAAGGTCCAAATCTCACCATTTCAACAATTATACACCAATAACTCTATTTTTAAGACCCATATACACATATGGAGTTTAAAATTTAAAACCCCTCTTCCACAAATCCACAGCCAAACCCTAAAGCCCTCGGCTTGAGTTTACATTTAACATCAAAAACAAATCAACAAAATGGAGTCTTCAGCTCCTAAACCTCCCAAGCTAAGACCTTGGAGGTGGAATGTCACCTGTACCTGAAAATGGTGTCCCAAGTAGGGTGAGCCAATGCCTAGTAGAAATATGCTAAACATAATATGAGAAATAACTAAAACATCAGCATCTGATAAATGTTCAACACATGTAAACCAACGTACATCCTTTCCATAACCAATCAACATTTGTAACCGTTTTTCAATCCATTTCCATTTCTTTATCCGAATCAATTCATTAACATGGTACATTATTTATCCAAACAATTCAAAATGAGACTACAACTTATATTATCAACACTTCAATCATCAACATCATTCAGATGTACATAAGGTTTCGAGACATTCACACTGGACACTCTGGCCAACTTAGTTGTCAATGGAGTCCATCCCCTATCTCCTCCTAAATAATGGAGTACATCTCCTATCTCCTCCCAAACAATATACATATACAATGTATTTAAATAAATTGTCATATACAATGACTAATTTAACCACACATTCAATGTTTATATCCAACCGTCATATTCAAAGACATAATCCAATTGATTAGTTTTGATTTACCTAATCATCATGCAGTTTCTACAACAATCATGACTATCCTCCACCGATAGCCCAAAACAGTCATTTTTAAACAGATAAATAAATCTAACAAACAGATAACTTTATTACATTTTCCATAGGTGGGTGATTATTCAATCCAACCACACCATCTAATCACAATCCTTCCCAATTCCATAATTCCACAATGTATTCACCATTTATACACAATAGATATTTAATTCCAAACTAGGGCATTTCCCCCAAATTCCGCAACATTGACCCAAAGGTCCAAATCTCACCATTTCAATAATTATACACCAATAACTCTATTTTTAAGACCCATATACACATATGGAGTTTAAAATTTAAAACCCCTTTTTCACAAATCCACACCCAAACCCCAACTTTACCCAAACTCCCCAAATCCAACCATTTATACAAAATGACCAACATTTATGTTAAAGCTCATAAGAATGAGTAGATTATCCCTATCTCAAATGAAGAAGCTCAAAGGAAAAGGAAGAGAAACTTGAAGATGCTCCAAAACAAAACTTTTTCGGATCAATAGATAGCCCAAGCCAAGCTCTAACTTTTATACGAAGGGACTAGGGTAGAGAACGTCTAAAACAAGGTGTATTTGTAGAGAGATAGAGAGAAAGTGTGGAGAGAGAGACAACCAGATTCAGGGTTTGGAGAGAAATGATGATGAAAAGGTGATGTAGAATCACGTCGTTGCGAACTGATATATACGGGGCTCGCTGGAGCGACCATATACAACAAATACCTCACTCGAGCACAAGAAGCGTCGCTTGAGCAAACAATGCGAAGCTTCAGGTTTGCAACTCACACAGACGCACGCTCGAGCGCAAGAGTTCTCGCTCGAGCGAAAGAACATATAACACAGGGCTCGCTCGACCACAAGAAAACTCGGTCGAGTGAAGAATGCCACCCTTCAGGTCTAAAAGAGACGTAGACGAACGCTCGAGCACAGGACTGCTCGCTCGAGCGAAGAGACACAAGACACAAGGCTCGCTCGAGCGCAAGAAAGCTCGCTCGAGCGCAAGAAAGCTCGCTCGAGCGGAAGTTATGTCTGAAAAGGAAACCTGATGACCCACAATACTTGCTCGAGCACACAAATCCTCACTCGAGTGAAGAAGCAAACACCCAAGGCTTGCTCGAGCGCAAAAAGCCTGGCTCGAGCAAAGAAGTAAAAACCTGGGCAGCAACCACTTGCACCAACTCATAACCAACCTATTCTAAACTCGTCCAACACATCCCAAAACTCGAATACAAAGAATAAAGGATAGAGATAAGATATATACAAGACATACAACAACGGAATCCAAGTTCGGAAAACAATAAATGACGGGAAAAACTGGGATCGCTATGAAAATTCATCATCAATTAAATGAAAAGTACAAAAAGACACTAATAAATCAACATATCACAAGATTTGGAACAATGATCTATTTATTTATATACCAATTGTCTACATCGTTCCAATCCCATAAAATTTTCTAATCACAATAATGGCTTTCCAATCACACATTCAACTTTCTTGTCTCTCAATTATCACATTTTACATTCTTCTCGCAACTCCTTATGCAACTGCACTAAACTTTAACATCGCCAAAATTGGTCCCAAAAATCGCAACGACATAACCACCAATGGAGACGCTTACATCTCCTCCGAAGGCATCCACCTCGCGGCGAATAAGCACGATACCAACTTCGAGCAGAAAGCCGGCAAAGCCACCTACGTCAAACCACTTCACCTTTGGGACAAAGTTTCTGGCAAGTTGACCGACTTCACCACCAATTTCACCTTCGTGATTGATTCGAAAGGAAGTTCAAGTTTTGCAGATGGGCTTGCATTCGTCCTTCAACATTCCGGTGCCAGCACCACTGCTGGCGGTGCCATTGGGCTCCCAATCAACCCATCGACATTGGAACCCACTAGCCAATTTGTCGCGGTAGAGTTGATACCTATCAGAATACTTGGGATCCACAAAACATCACTCCTGTTACTCATATTGGTATCAATATCAACTCTATTAAGTCTAATGTGACTTGAGTATGGTACAATAACATAATTCATGGGATAGAAAATGAAGCTGTGATTAGTTATCGCTCTAAATCGAAAAAATTGAGTGTTGTTGTCACTAGCTCTATGAATAATGTCAGACAAGGCCTTAATTTCAAGGTTGATCTGAGGAACTACTTGCCAGAACGGGTTACATTCGGCTTCTCGGCTTCAACTGGTGCGTTTTTTGAAAAAAATATTGTTAAGTCATGGAAATTTAATTCGGACTTTTAAATGTGAGGAAAACAAAGTATATGTTATAGCTCCAAGGGCATAGGTAATCTTGGACTTTGAATAAGACATTTACTAGCTACTAGTAAATAATTGTTATTCCTTAGATGAATATATATTTTTCTTTGGAATAATATGTTATGGATGCATCTTATAATATGATTCTATGATACTTTTCATCACATTGTGAATGTTGGATTGTGTTGTGTCTAAATGTAATAGATATAAGGTTGTAAAATAAACGATCAGAATTTTTTTATTAAATATATATATATATAATCTACACAATCTTACAGCTTCAATAGTGTTTTATTCCAAAATTTCCTCTCGTCGGCAATTACCTAAAGAAACACTAGCAGGAAGCTTCTATGCTCATTTTTTTCCAAAAGAAACACTTACGAAATGCTTCTATACTCAATTTTTATTTTAAGGTTCAAAAAGGAATCGACTAACAACATGCACAAAGGGAAAATGGCAAACAACGTGGGTGGGAGAATTTTTGGCTTCAAGATGCCATCCAAGACAAGAAGCACACGTCAACAAGTCATAAATCAAAATGAAAATTACATTTTGCACCTTTGCATTTTATATTTAATCTCATTTTATTTTTTGATCTTTTAATTATTTCAGTCAATCTCTAGATTTTGAGTCAAGTAGCAATTTGGTCCATTTGCATAATGTCGTTTCGAAAATTAATGGAGAGCAGTTACATGATAGCATTAATAACACTTATCATTGTACTTTTATTAAAATTTCACTTTAGTCTTTAACATCTTTGTACTTTTAATAAAATTTCACTTTAATCTTTATAATTTAATTTGTCCCTTAATTTTTAAAACAATGTTATTCGACTGACCTACATCTAGAATGAAATTTAGTCACATATTGATTTTTTAGATAAAATGTGAGTATGTAACATTGCTGATTACAAAACGTGGATTATACAATACAAATTTTAGCACATCTTGTTAGTTAAAATGACTAACAGTGTTGGAGATGCTAAGAGTTAGTGACAATAATGCATAATATTTTCTCTAGTACATAATTTTGACTCCTCCAACCATCTATCTACTTATTTACATGACAAAGTGCAAGCTTGCTACCTAAAACTTTCATACCAAACCTAATCATCTAATCTTCTTCATTCTCTCTATGACCGTCCTTCTCTTCTTTCTTATATTATTTCCTTGTGCAAATGCAACTCCATTTTCCTTCAACCTCCCAAATATTGGACACAATGATCCCCTCATAAATTGCACAGGAGATGCTTACATCTCCAAAGAGGGCATCCAAGTCACTCGAGACCCTGACGTGTACAATGTGTCATCATTGCAGTGGATAACTAGACGCGCAACGTGTACCCAACCGATGCATCTTTAGGACAACTCCTCTGGGATCCTCACCGACTTCAGTACCAATTTCTCATTTGTCATAAGAGGAAATAACTATGGTGAGAAGCTTGCATTCTTTCTTGCTACCAATGGTTCCAATATTCCTTCAGGCTCGGTAGGAGGTAGCCTAGGCCTCATAAATAAAAACCAAACGACAACTTCAATTGGCCTGAACTGATTTGTCGCTATAGGGTTTGATACTTATCAAAATATTCCTTGGAAAGCGGACTTGCCAATCAATCATGTCAGTGTCTATATCAACTCTAGGAATTCCATTGAACCTATTAATTGGCCAAGTGGTATTTCACATGGTATACCAAATGAGGCTCAAATTACATATAAACCTCAGTGTTGTCTTCTTTGGTTTTGAGAATAGTTCTACATGTTGGTGAGAGTGAGGTGCAAACCACTTATGGTGATTCACAATGAGAGGATTAACACTGAACCAAACTCAATTTAGATTCACTCATATAATTTGGAAAAACAAACAGAGGATGAACTACAATCTTCTCTCTTTTTATTTTCTTTCTCCCACACACTGATCTTTACGATACATAGGCTATTTATAGATAAATTAGACAATGTAAAACCATTAAATGCAAATGCAGCTGAGGTTGCAAATTTCAAACGGTTGCAACCACTTTTGACAATCTTGATTTCGGCCTCCATACTTCTACTCTTAGGCCGGTGGAAAAATAAATTTTTTTTTTATTATAGGTGAAGCAAGATTACTTCACAACATCCCCCCTAATCTTGATTCTCCATGTTGCTTCATCTCGAGCATCAACTTCATTCTGTTGAACAGATCATTTTTCAATGGCTTTGTGAAAATATCTGCAAGCTGATCTTTAGATTTGCAAGGAAATAATTCCACCTCTTTATTTTTCACATGCTCTTGGATGAAATGACAGCGGGTGTCCATATGCTTACTTCTTTCATGATAAACTGGGTTATTTGCTAATGCAATTGCTGAGCAATTATCACAATAGATCTCAGTGGGATTTTCTTGTGGAAATCCTAAATGCTTCAGCACATTTCTTAACCAAATTGCATGACACACAGCTAAGTTGGATGCAACATACTCAGCTTCGCAAGTTGACAGTGTCACAATAGCTTGCTTCTTGGACGACCAAGTGCACGCTGTATTTCCCATAAAGAAAGCAAACCCAGTAGTACTCTTTCATTCATCTAAGTCACCTCCACAGTCACTATCTGAATAGCCAACAAGACTGAAATTATTAGTTGATTTATAGAATAAACCATCATTGATTGTATTTTTGATGTAGCGAAGAATTCTCTTTGCTGCATAAAGGTGTGGATGATCCGGTATTTCCATATATCTGCTAATCAGTCCTATTCCATAGAGTATGTCTGGTCTGGTGCAAGTAAGGTAGCGAAGACTTCCAACTAAGCTCTTGAAATAAGTTGGATCCACATCACCTACCTTTGTACCTTTTTTGAGCTCCACTCCACTGTCTACAAGAGTGTTCACTGGATTGCAATTCTCCATCCCATACCTCTTCAGAATTTCCTTGGCATAGCCACTTTGGGAAATAAAAATTTCATCTTTTCTTTGTGCCACTTCAATGCCGAGAAAATGAGCCATCAATCCAATATCTGTCATTTCAAATTCTTAGACCATGCTTCTTTTAAATTCTTTGAACATGGCTGGATTGTTTCCAATGAAAATTAGATCATCAACATAAAAACAAGCAATCAACATGCTTCCATCAGCTTCCTTCTTCAAATATAGTGCGTGCTCATAATGACATTTTTCAAAACCATTGTCATGAAAATACTGATCAATTCTAGTATTCCATGCACGAGGAGCTTGCTTCAATCCATAAAGTGTTTTCTTCAATTTGTACACTTTGTCTTCATGCCCATTCTGAACATATCCCAAAAGTTGTTCAATATAGATTTCTTCTTCAAGAAAACCATTAAGAAATGCAGATTTCATATCAAGTTGATAGATCTGCCACTTGTGTTGGGCAACCATAGAAATCATTAGCCTGATAGTCTCCAACTGGGCAATTGGAGCAAACACCTCTCTATAATCAAGTCCAGGTCTCTGCTTGTAACCTTTTGCCACTAATCTTGCCTTATAGCGTTGCACTTCGCCTTGTGCATTCCTCTTTGTCTTGTATATCCATTTGACTCCAATGGGATTGTGCCCCTCCAGTAGACTGGTAAACTTCCATGTGTCATTTTTCTTAATGGCATGAATTTTTTCATCCATTGCTTTCTTCCATTTATCTTCTTGGATGGCTTATGATAAAGTAAGTGGATCACTATCTGCGAGTAGGCAGAACAAATTCAGATCTTCTTCTTCTGTAGTTTCATATATCTACTGTAAATTTCTCATTGGTCTTGGTTGTTTGAAAAAACTGTCATCTGATGATGATGATGCAATACTTTTGTGAGAGACTGGCGATCTAGGTGCAGGTATTCTATGTGGAGGAGTTTGTTGCTCATCTCGAACTTCTTTTGTGATTTCAACCGGTGCTTTTGATGTTTCATCTTCAAGAATGAGTTCTGCATCTTTAACAACTTCATCTTGATTCCAGTTTCAAGCTTCTTCTTCTTCAAATATCACATCTCTACTCATGATCACCTTTTGGGTAATGGGATTATACAACTTGTATCCCATTGTTCTATCTTCATATCCGACAAGGATACATTTTTTTCCCTTATCATCGAGCTTAGTTCTTCTTGCTTCTGGAATCTTAGTGTACGCAACACACCCAAATATTCTGAGATGGTTGACACGTGGCTTATGTGAACTCCAAGCTTCTTCTGGAGTCATAGAGTGAAGACTCCTGATTGGGCATCTATTTAGTAGATACACAACACATGATACGATTTCAGCCCAAAATTGCTTTGGCACTCCTTTTCCTTTCAACATGCTCCTTGCCATATCTAAGATTATGCGATTCTTCCTTTCAGTAACACCATTTAGCTATGGCGTATAGGATGGTGCTGTTTAATGCTTGATTCCATCATCTTTGCATTAATTCTTGAAAGCATCTGATGTATACTCTCCACCTTGATTTGATCGCAATGTCTTGGTGTAGTAGTCGCTTTGCTTTTCTATAAAAACTTTGAATTCTTTGAAGATACTGAACACCTCCGACTTTCTTTTAAGAAAATACACCCATGTCTTCCGACTATAATCATTAATGAAGGTGAAAAAATATTTATTCTATCCATTTGACATTGGCTTCAAAGGACCACACACATTAGTGTGCACTAGCTCCAGCAGCTTTGTTGTTCTTCACTTCACTTCTTTGGCAAAGCTAGTTTTGTGATGCTTGCCAAGAATGCAGCTTTCACAGACTTCATTACTATGAGCAATATGAGGGAG